CCGATGGCCTGTCAATTAAAATCTCATTAAGAAACATCCCCTGGAAAAGAACGGGCTCGCTGGCTTCCTCCTCTTTCCTAGGCCTCGGGAGCTGCTGAGGCTATCACAGAAATGAAGCAGGCAGGTAGAACTTAGCTTACAGGAAGGAGGCAGAAGCTTTTTGGGGAAGTGTGTGTGTGGGGGGGGGGGGTTGAGATGCACAATAGCAGAAAAGGATGAGCTACTGGGGCAGTAGGCGGTTCTGACCAGACCTCTTTTGGAAAAGGGTGCACAGGCCTCATCCAGCAGGGACCAATGGCCTTTGCATTCTCTTATGGTGCAGCTTGGTTTGCTTGCTTAAGCCAGACGGGAGGAGAAAAGAAGGAAGGAAGGACTAGTCAGTGATGAGAATTCGGGGTAAAATATCGACCCAAGGGAGCTGCTTTACATCACGTCAAAGCGTTGGTAGCTTAGCCTTGTCTGTGCAGACTGGGAGCACCAGTCCAGGCAGAGAAAGGCCTTTCCCAGCTTTCCTACAATTTCAGCTGGAGATGGCAGAGACTGAACTGGGGACCTTCTGCATGCAAAGCAGGTTGTTGTCGCTTGTGGCACACAGCACAGAGTAACCGGGCTGGATCCGTGGTCTCCACCTGTGTCCTGTGCAATTGTTAGATGGGTTCTTTTCAGTTCCCTTGCGCAGGGTGCCTAATTCAGATGCTCACTTGAAGGGGCTCCAGCCTTCAATCCTGTGCCATTTTCCCAACCGGCAATGGAGTGCACTGGCGAATGTTGGACCAGGCCCCCGAAAATGCCACATCCAAATCTTCGCTATGTCATGAAACTCACTAGGTGACCATGGGGAAGTCGCACCCTCTGAGCTTAACCTACCCCGCGAGCGAGCGATTTGGCTACTGCATACGTTAGTCTGCTCTGGAGCTACCCTTCCTGAGCTAAAACAAAAAAATCTGCGAGCTAGCTCACACTAACTCAGCTTAGAGGGAACATTGCCCCCCAAACCTTGGTCTCTGAGGTGCTGCTGGACTCGAATCTAACTGTTCTACCGTGGACCAACAGGGGTACCCTCTGAAAGTATTCTGAAGTGACCGTATAAAACTATCTTATGTTGAAGCAGACTCTTGGTTCACTTCGCTCAGGCCCTTGGTCCATTTTGGCTAGAAGCTCTCCAGGGTCTCTCAGCACCTGTGATAGGATCCCCGGAGGTTGCAGAGACTGAATCTTGGGACTTCATGCAACCCCCACCCCAGAGCTTCATCTGAGGCTGTCTTATTCCCACTGGTCTGCAGAACTCAGCACTGACCGCTCCCCGACGTGACAGAAGCAGAAGAAGGGTGACTTTTGAGAATCCCAATAGAAGATCTGATGAGCTAGCTTTAGTCTGCAAACAGGCATGCTGGGATAAGCATCTGGGAAGTTGGTGTCACAAGACTACTATTTGCTTTTGCGACAATAGAGGGAATGGGCTAGCCGATACTGGCGACCTTTGTGGCTATCAGCCATGGACACGAGAGGAGTCGGCCTCAATGGCACCAGCCAAGACTCCTTGTCCAGGAAACACTCATCATCATACTAGCCGATGTGCTAAATCTTTCGTGCCCCATACAATGGTAAGTTGTAAAGAGGCCTTAGACACATTTAAAAGAGCATTACAGAAATTCATGGTGGATTTAGCCTGGCTAGCTAAATGGAATCACCATGTTCAGAGGTAGTCTACCACTTACTGGGGAGGGCTATTATTGCCTTTACATCTTGCTGGTGGCACCCGATTGGCCAGTGTGGGAAACGGGATGCTGGACAAGAAGGAGGTGATCTACAAAGCACTATATATAGATAGCTGCCATTTTAGTTTAGCCGAAATAACAGAAGCTTTCAGTGGGGGGAAACAGGATGGGACTGAAGGTCTGAAGATCTGCCCAGGGCCCATATCCTTGACTCAGCCTGTATGGCAACTGTGCGACTTACTTCCAGTGGAGTTCCACCCAAATCAGTGGTGGCAACACACCTAAAACCCAGCAGGCTGCAGAGGTGACAAAAATGAAAACTGGCCAGAAGCAAACTACCTGGGGCCGAGCTCATCCTCACTGCGCCACACAAAGTCTCCAAACTTCTCATAGTGAGAGTTGTAATGGTGCTGAACACGGAAAAGCATAGACGTCGAAACCTCCATCAGCGTGTTGTAGGCGGTCTGCTGCTCCTTCCCACTGGTGTAGCCGTTGTACAAGTTGTAGATCTTATCGGCTATCTCTGAAAAGCAAGCACAAACAAAGAGGATGCGTGTCAAGGGAGCTGTGTGCATGTGGAGAAGGGCAGAAATTAAGTTAAGGGCCTACTTCATTGGGACTGCCCTGGAAGCACAAGCAGGGTGCCCTGTGGAGTCGTAGAGCCTGCTTCAGGTGCCCTAAAGCAGCCAGCCTCATGCCGGTTAACAGGGGCTGCATGACTGCCCCTTGAAACCACACCATGCTAGGGGGAGAAACAGGGGCCTTGATCCAAGCAACTGCTTTACCCTCTGCCTTGCTGTCATCCACCAATGGGCACGCCGTTCGCAGGGTGACCGTGCTCAGCTCAGAGTGCCTGCCTCGGGTGTCCACGGCGTACAGCGTGAATCTGAAAGAGATGAGAACCGTCTTACTGCAATGTGGGAACTTGGGTATCATATGCTGGAAAGGCCACAGGCTTGCTCTCAGTGGGAGGGAACAGCATGGGAAGGAAGACTGTTTCAATCTGGAGAATGCTCCAGGAAGATTAACAGGTCAGCATGCCCTTTATTGGTAGGGTGGCCATCTCTGGGTTGGGAAATACCAGGAGATTTGGGGGGAGAGCCTGGGGAGGGTGGGGTTTGGTGAGGGAAGGGATCTCTGAAGGGTACAATGCCATAGAGTTCATGCTCCAAAGCAGCCATTTTATCCAGGAGAACTGATCTTGGTCGTTTGGAGATCAACTAATAACAGAAGAACTCCAGGTGCCACCTGGAGGCTGGCAGCCCTATTTGTTGGAACAAGATTATCCCCCCCCCTCCCCTGGCATGCCATTGCCACCCAAATGTAACTGTTTTGACACGTGGACTCCTTTGAGAATTATCTGCAATAGCTCTCACTGCAATACATGTTGCAGAACTGCTACCTGGAAAGGGCCGGATGAGAAACAGGCTCCCCTTTAAGTGCTGTGGGTGATGATGAGACTCCGCCAATCACAAGGTTTTCAATTAACTCATATGTATGACTCCATCTCATCACCTATGCTCTCAAGGTGACTTATATACAAAGGGTTAAAACCACAATAAATTACAAAGAAAAAGAAATACACAGACCCACATTAACACCAGCAAGTCCAGCAGTTAAAATGACATTAAAAGCAGCTATTTAGCAGCATTTGCATCAGTCCATAGTAAATCAGACATTCCAGTAGAGGGCAATTAAGAGATAGATAGACTGATAGATACAGATACACACAGACAGGGGAGGCCAGGAGACTCAATCCGACCACAAAAAACAAATGCTAAAATTCAACAGGCCAGGTAAACAAATGAGTGGAAAGCGTTCTATAACTGAGGCACACAACTGAAGAACCCCCTCCCTCTATTAACTATAACAGCCAGATTTGGGGGGGAGGCTGCTCTGACCACCAGAAGGACCTTCCCACCTATCCCCATCTCCGCTGGCCTGCATATCCTTCCTCCCCCTGCCTGTTTATGAGCCTTCCATATGTTGTTTCCTCAATGCTGCTGGGTGGTGAGTGCAGACAGGAACACCATCACTGTGTCTGCCAGAAGAGCCTCCATTGTACACTACCTGCAGGTAGAGTACACTGCCCTGGCAGCATGTGTTGCGGGGGGGAGGGGCTCCGCAGCAGAGGGCCCTACCCTGGGCCCCGACACCTGTCCCACCTCAGGGTATGCTAGTGTTGGCCCTGAGCTGTAACATGCAATGTTGCCGAAGTTCCCTGTTTCCTGGTTTGGAATACGGATTTGCCCTCCTTGTAATTCTTGGACATATTACAAATTGAGCATCATTTTCTCTGAGAACTTCTCAGCCACAGGATGTAAAATAGGATCCTGCTGGTGACAGCCAGAGTACAAGCTGACTGAGTGTCTTTGGTGGCGCATGTGCGAGAGAGAACCCCTCACTGAAGAACTAAGCAAATTGGGCAGGGGGCATTCAACTGGACATAAGAAAGGAAGAAAGAAACAAAACCATTACTGGAGAGCCGGCAAATGGTTTCCAACCGAGCTTGCTTTCTGAATTCAGAGTGTGATTGCAGTACCATATACAGGCCATTGTAATGTGCTTGTGATCCCGACAGCACCTCTACAACACCGAAAATGGTTGAGACCAGGCAATAGCTTTACAAGCTGTCTTGATAAAAGGTACAGTAAAAGCCCGAGATCCCCTTTATCAGCTAAGGAGATCCAGTAAATCCCAGTCTAATCTTTCATCCGGCTCCCAAAAAAGCACTTTTCACCTTTATCCGTTCTGAGCCAGGCGGTACAAAGCAAGGATCTGAGGCTGGCATTGACAAAGTGCAGAAAGGACTGCCAGGATCTGTCCACTGCTGCCTTGGGAGGTCTGAGCCACCCGGCGACAGGGCATCCCCTGATGGAAGGCAGACGGGACTGCCTAAACAAGGCCCAGAAAGCTCTGGAGGAGGAGAGGAAATGAAAGGGGCTGAAGCTTAAGTGGGATTTGGAGAGTTACTTAGCAGTAGACCCGTCACTCCTCAAGTGTTCCTCCTTGTGCTGTAGTTTTAAACACAACTTTGAGCTCCTACTAGCAGGAAGGCACATAGCCTATGTGGTTCTCCTTTTTGGTAAAAGGAAGCGTAGACTGCGGTGCATAAATGCCAGTTCAGCCTTCCAAGACACTAGCTGTGACAGAAATGTGCAGTCTAGATCTGGAAACTCCTCTCCAAGACATGGTGGCTTGCAGGGTTCTCAGAGGTCATTTCGGGGGGGGGGAATGCGGGGGATCGCAGTTCCCCCAGGTGAGGTATGGGGGGGTGGGGCACATGACGCCCCCTGCTTTTGGCTGCACCGCTTCCGGCCCTCATTCAGCCAGGAGGAGGCAGGAGAAGAGGAAGGGTAAGTTGCTTCCTCCCTGCCTCTCCCCACCCCTGCCTGCCTGGGGCCAGGGAGGGCCTTCGCGGGGCTTCCTCGCACTCCCGCTGGCCTTGCAGGTCCACCGCCGGGCCCCTCATGGGGCTTGGCAGTGGAGCTGTAAGGCCGGCAGCGGCAGCCGGGACCGTTGGGGGCGGGGTGTGTGGCCTTATGACACACTTCCGGTGATGTCAGGGGGTGTGGCCTTATGACACACGTCCGGTGATGTCAGGGGGTGTGGCATATGCTAATGAGTTATGCTAATGAGTTCCCCTAGCTCTTTTTCTACGAAACGACCCCTGAGGGTTCTCATTTGCCCACTTATGGTGGGAGACTTCCAGATAACTGGCCCTTGTCCACCAATGCTCTCCTGATCGGCAGGTGGAAACAAGGTCAAGGGAGACCTTGTCCCGGAGAGAATTTTTTTTAAAAAAAGAAATATAAGGCCTCAGCTGCTGACCATAGCGTTCTGACAACAGCCTTCCTGGAGATTCCTAGAGCTACCCTGAGGCGCCAAGGGTAGCTCTAGGAATTGCTGTAAACTCAAAGGTAAGATTACCATGGAGTTTCTGGAAATTCCTAGGATTATGGTCAGAACTTCTGTAAGTGGTTGAGGCCTTGTTTTTGTTTTTTAATTTTTCTCTCAGGATGCTGTCCACCCTCAACCATCTTGCCAGTTGCCTGACACAGCCTGGCAACCCTAGTGGACTGGGAAGTTAAAATCTCCCAGGAGTAAACCAGTTCCAGAAGCCAGAGCCGCAAAGGCCGCTAAACTCAGCTCAGATATGGGTGGTGGTACCCCAATGGGCATTGGCTCATGAACTGCCTCCTCCCACACTGACATCAAGCAACAGCACAGCAGGAGGAGACGTGTGATCGGAAACCCCTCAGTGACTCAGCTGGCCAGATCGGAGCCGAGTGGCCCCAACAAGGCTCCTCCTGCCCCTGGCCACCAGTGGCTCTCCAGGGTTGTGGCCTGCTGGGGACTTTCCATGGTGGCCAGTCTGGGCAGAAGCAAGCAGGCAACATCTCCTGCTGAAGCCAGTCACTACTTCTTAGCTGCTGTCCTAAGTTTTGCCGGCAGAGCACTCGGGTAATATGGCGGAGATCAAACAGCTGAATAAAAGGAGAGTTGAAAGACCATCCTAAGGGAGAGGCGCCTTGATAGACAGACTCACTGAAGCTGCCATCGAGCCTGCCGCGGCCCTCTTAAACTGTCTGCATGCATCTTCCAACAGGGTGCACAAGAGAGGGGAATACAAGGAAATGCTCTTTTGAGCTGTGCGTACGGCAGCAAGTTCAAACAGGGGCAGGAAGAGAAAAGGGAATTGTATTCTGAAAAGGGCTAATGGCATCTGGTACATGATCTGTCATGTATGCCCCAAAGAAAGCAGAGGGAGGCAATGTGGAGAGACCGCTTCGAAAGCACACTGAGGATGGGGATTAGGCAGGCATTGCACCCAGTAAGCACTGGATGGAGAAGCCAAGATGGATGGAGATGGATTATTTTGTGCTGCATTTTCTCCCAAATGCAACAGGGACATTGCTATTAAATTCCTGTCCTTCTGTAAGTGAACCACTTTTGTACGGGGGTAGAAATCTAGGATCTGGGATTTTACTGTTGAAATGAGGTGATCATGTCTCCTCCACTGGCTATCAGAGGCCACTAAAAGGGAAGGAGTAACTGTCTAAGATCTTAAATGTCCTCATTTGTCACCAAATATTACCCTCCAAGATTTTTAGATCATTAATTCTATGTGGGGGTATTCATACTGTTAAGAATACGTATTCTGCCTTCTGTTTTGGAGGAGAATGGGATGCTTTCTTTCTTGTAAACGGGGGATTTTTCAATATGAGATGTGGTTAAAGCATTTTGGGATTCTGTTTCTAGAACTATGGCTTTGTTTAATACTCTGGATTAGAGATTACAGATGGGCCAGAGGCCTAGGCTACTATAAGATAGTAGGGGTGTGCAAAAAGAAATAAAGTATTTTTCGGGTTCTGGTATACTGAACCCAAAAAATATTGGTATTTCCTGATATTCCCAAATCCCAATACTTGTATGGTAGTCAGATTCAGATAAATATTCAGGATCTCCATTTCCCCCCCCCCCGGGTCCAATGGACTTCAGAAGGAAAAACAAAATGGTTTAAACTGGACTGCCCAACAGAGCTGCTGCCATCCTCCATTGTTTCCAATGAAGGGGGGAAAAGGCATTTAAAGGGGTTGTGGTCCCTTTAAATCCCTTTTGCAAGCCATGAGTGAACGCCAAAGCAATTTAAAGGGTTCACAACAGTCCCTTTAAATGCCTTCTTGAAGCCGTGATTTCACCCAGAAGGTATTTAAAGGAACAGCAATCCCTTTAAACACCCTTTTCTTTTAGCTATCCGGTGGTCCTTAAGTATCCCAAAAATATTTAGGATTTTTTTGGTTGACCATTTTCAGAAAGCCAAATAAACACTGGGTTCTACATCCGGCTGAAGTATTTTTCAGATATTTTCCCTGCTCAGTACAG